AGGCCAGTCTTTTGTAGTAGTACCAAATTCTTTTGCTCCTAACTCCAAATTATTTCTCTAAACCTTGAAGTGGATTCTACAGTGTCTCCCATCCTGCTAAGGACTTTCTCAAAACTCTAACGAAAGTCAACTGTCAATTTTAGTAAAAACATAAGGTATATTTAAAACATCAAAAACAAATCCTAAAATAATATTGATATGATAAAAGCTATCTTAATCCACTGATTGAAATAATTTATGATCTACATATTCTAATTATGTTTCATAAAGTTTTTAGAGAGTATAAAAGGATCAGGGTAAAATGAAGGTTGGTAAAAAGTTTGATGATCTGAAGTAGAGCTGATGTAATAATAATAGAAATAAAGGGCACAATAAATGTAACTTAATGCACTTGAATCATTCTGAAACCATCCCCTGCACCCCTGCTCTGTGGAAAACGGGTCTTTAAACAAAAACAGTCTTTTACTATGAATTCTATTTTAATGGACTTTTCAACATCTGTCCTGATTGAATCAGATAAGAAGATTTCTTCCTCCTGACTATGAAGCAGTTTGGTATGGAAGTGAGAATGTAGTGAGGAGCAGAAAACCAGCTGTGGCTTTTCTATTTCAAAAGAGCAGAACTCAATGGGCAGAATACTGTAAGGTTATCATGTTATGCAACATATCAAAACACCTGGCGCTAATCTAAAATACAGCATAATGGTGATTTATAGTCTATATGTCAGTAATTTCCTTATTTTCCAAATTTTGTATGATTGACATATGCTGCTGTATAATTGGGAGTTCCTAAAATGTCAAGTGGCAACAACACTGCAAGATACTAAAAGAACAAACGACCGTTGTTACTTATTGAAAACTAAAATATGAAAGACGTGGACTATGTTATAAGATATTATAATATGTTATTTTATGCTTTTCCAATATTAAAAAAAAATGAATCTGCTATCTCCAGGCATGAATCAAGACTGGAAATTATTAGACATTTCTGGAAGTCATCATTAAATATCAACAACGAAGTGGGCAATAACTTAAGATGATTGATAATGGTTCTGATGATGCCATGGACTCAAAAAAACTTGTTTCACATCAACAAAAATTCTATTAAACAGTCAATTTTTACAACAATAAGCATATTGTAAATACATACGACTGGTTACTTGGGCTTTCCTGGTGGCTCGGTGGTAAAGACGTTGCCTGCAATGCAGGAGACTTGGGTTCAATCTCTAGGTGGAGAAGGTCCCCTGGAGAAGAAAATGGCAACCCATTCCAGTATTTTGCCTGGGAAATCCCATGGACACAGGAGCCTGGCAGGCTACAGTCTATGGGGTGGCAAAGAGTCAGACACGACTTAACAACTAGACAACAACAACAATCAAAAAAGCGGGAAAGAAACTGACATACCCATGCCCACAAATGCAGCGCTATGGCAGAAATTACTTCTACTTCCCATTGATGGCAATTTAATAGTCGAGAGCATACGATTTCAAAGTACCTTGTCAGACTCTCAATTATCTAATGTTATGCTCACAACAAATTTGGAATGTAGATGCTACCACTATTTGGCACGTAAGAAAAGTAAGGCTTAGAGAAATCAGACACCTTGCCAAAAACTAAATTTCTACTAAGTAGAGAAACAAGGAGTTAAACCCAAACAGGTAACTGCTGAACCTGCTCTCAGAGGCCATATGTGGGGGAAAAAATGGCTAGGAGTCTAAATTGTATTCCAGTTTCAAGATTTTTTATAGTAGAAATATCTAATTTCTAAAACTTCTATTAAAATGGTCCTTAAATTTCTTTCTGAAAATATTCATAAGACAATTAGTCTAGTTATTCAAGAGATCAGTATCATGGGGAAAAAGAGAGGAGAAAGTTCTAGAATAAAAGAAACTAGAGATGTAGCAAGTACATGTAACACATAGTCTTTACTTCAGTCCTGGGTTTAGAACAAAACAACTAAAAATACTTCTGGCAAAATTCGGGTAATTTGAATACAGACTGAGTTTTAGACTAAATGTGTGAATTTAATGTTGTTAGACATTGCTATGTTGTGTAATAAAGGAAGGGATTTTTAGAGATAAATACTGAAATATTTATAGACAAACTGTCATGGTTTCCATAATTTACCTTAAAATACTTCAGTAAAGCAATCAATTAAGCATCTATAGCAAAATGTTAACTACTGTGAAATCTGTGGGTGTATGGTTGTGAATTACACTGCTACCCTCACTTTTCTGTATGCTTGAATATTTTTCAAAGTAAAAGTCAAAATGTTTTAATTATTCATATTATAAAATTCACTGTTTATCTCTCAGCTCTGAACCCATTGTTCTTCACCAGTACAGTTGACCCTTACACAACATGAGTTTGAACTGCATGGATCCACTTATACAGAGACATTTTTTTTTAATAACAACTATACTATAGTACCAGAAGATCTGTGGTCGCTGAACTTGTGGGTGAAAAGTTACACATGGATTTCCAATAGTGCAGGTCAGTGCCCATAATCCCCAAGCTGTTCAAGGTCAACTGCATTTAGCATCATGTTGCTTTTTCAAATCCTACTTTGCCAAATTGCATTTCTTGATGAAGAAAAATGGTGTCCCATCACATAAACTGTCAGGACAATCCCTCTGCTTATTTTGGTAGGCTGGAAAACAAGAAGGGGTGGAAGATTTGTTCCTCCTTGGAAGACCTTGACCATGGTTGTTCAAGTCTCCTTAAGTGTCATCACTATCACATTAATGAATCAGGTAAATTATTCATTGAGAACTTCTTATTGTCACTGTGTCCATCAGGAAGACAGTGATGCACAAAGGACTACTGTCAACCTCATCAAATGACAAGTATCCTTTCTTTGTCTTTGAAATCAAATTACTTGACAGAAGTGACCTTATCCTAAATCCAATAAATTTCCTATTTCCACAAAACTCAACTGAAGAGCTATAAAACTGCAAAACTCTCCTGTGCGTTCTCTTCCATTGCTTCCAATTACCATCCTAAAAGGATCAGCTGAAGACAACTACATCAAACATCCTAAGAAGAGTCACATCAGACCAGGTATATGGATATATTAGATACATTGGGGATTAATATACTAAAATGTAAACTAAGCAGCTTTTAGGTTATATGGAATATTTTCAGTAATAGTCATAATTGTTCTAATAGTTATTTTCCTCTGTTCTTATGAACTGCTAAACTATGTGACAAAAGATTCGACTCATATGTTACTAAAAGAACATGATCAATGGGGAATATTGATCTTTTATTTATGTTTATTATCTTTCATTTATTTTTTTAATCTTGAAAATAAAAAGAAAATTTTGATAGGATTAGGAAACTGATAAAATAATACAAATGTCTTTCCCCAGTGGGTCCAGATGGTTTTATTCTTAGTATAACTAGTACTATAATAACAACTACCACTGAGCCTTTGACCTAAGTTGCTTCAGTTATGGCCAACTCTTTGCAACCCTTTGGACTATAGCCCACCAGGCTCCTCTGTCCATGGGATTCTCCAGGAAAGAATATTGGAGTGGGTTGCCACTTCCTCCTCCAGAAGATCTCCCTGACCCAGGGATCAAACCCATGTCTTTTAAGTCTGCTGCATTGATAGGCAGGTTCTTTACCACCACATTGTCCTCCGTACAATTGTAACATATATTATTCCAGCCCATCCTCAGGACAACCTTAACGTGTAAGACTGCAACTCAATCAAAGTCACACAGAAAGTAACAGAGTTGGCATTTAAACCAAACATGATTGACTCTAATACTCTCTAGTTTGATAAACCACGGCTATATTGTAAAGTGAATATGATCTGATAGCACACCACACTGATGTGTGCACATTCATTCATTTATTTGCCCTAATATCTACTTTGTCTGCATAGAGATTTAACTTTTATTTTGTTTTCTAAAATCAAGCTGATTGTAGAATATATGTATGATCAAATTAAGAAAAGTAAAAAGTCATTCCCCTCCCTTACTCTCCCATCTTACAACCTATGTATGTTGTATGGCTGTCTTTCGGCAGTTTTTTAATTGATTAAATCTGTGCTATGTGCTAAGCATGATGATATAAAGTGAATAAAACATAACTCCCATCCTTTAGGGATTTAGGAAAAGGGGATCGCATGGTAAAATCTTCAGTCAAATAAAATTTCGAGAAGAGGCCATTTGATAGGACAATTTTTCTAAGTAACAGCCTTATAACAAAGAAACAAGGAATACCTTCTTTGCTTAAAGTGAAAGTAAAAGTCACTCAGTTGTGTCCAACTCTTTGCAACCCCATGGACTATAAATTCCATGGAATTCTCCAGGCCAGAATACTGGAGTGGGTAGCTGTTCCCTTCTCCAGGGAATCTTCCTAACCCAGGTATTGAACCCAGGTCTCCCACATTGCAGGTGGATTCTTTGCCAGCTGAGCCACAAGGGAAGCCCAAGAATACTGGAGTGGGTAGCCTATCTCTTCTCCAGAGGATCTTCCCAATGCAGGAATAGAACTGGGGTCTTCTTCATTGCAGGCGGATTCTTTGCTAACTGAGCTATCTTAAAAGAACCTTATAAAACATTTACAAAATCATGTTCAGTAAGTATCAGGTAGCTTGTATAATGGTTCATTAAATAGGGAAGCTTCTAGAATTAGAACAGAAATAAGAGAGAAATTATTTCCTTCCCTTATTGCTAAACTTCCTAAGACCCTGCCCTTCCCAGGCAGTCTTTAGTATCTGTGAGGAATGCTTATGCTACAAACTAGTTATAACAAGAATAATTCTTGACCCTCTTCCATTGTTTTCTCTTTGAAAGAATGTGTTTTAACTTAAAGCAATTTTGCTTTACCATTATGGAATGAAAATATATACATAATTTCAGAAACCACTGGTCTCTTTCACACTGTATGTTCTAAGAAAAATAAATCATTAACCAAAATGTATCCCTCTCCCACAATATCATAACTAGAGAGCCACCTTTCTGCTTTTCCCAGGAGCCAACAGGAAAAATGAAAGCTCTGCCGCTGCTGGTGTGCATCTGTGCATTGAGTGCTTGCTTCTCAGTAAGTATGCCTCCGAGTAACTTTTATTCATATGTATCAGTGACATTTGGGATGGATATCTAACTGAGACTTCAAAAGTACAACCACAGAAAGACTTCTAGTTTCAAGAAGCTTGGCATCTTTTGTTTTCTGTAAAACATAAGACAACACATAATTAAAATACAAAAAATGGTTTGGTTCATCTAACTGATATTTGTATAGCACTAACTTTATCATGGGTGTGATGAGAACAGGTGGAAATCACCTAGGGCCTCATTGGTGTAGAATATTGATTCCATTCTCAGTATAGGAAGCCTCAGAACCAACTGCCTGTCCACAGGGGAGTGAAGTGACCCTGGGTATTAGGGAGAAAACAGATCACATGGGACAAAAGCTGAGATAAAGCGTACACTCAAGAAGCCATAGCAGTGGTCCAGAGAAAAGATAATGGTGACTTGTATTAAATGTCAGCAATTAAAAAAAAATAAGGGTGGATTTAAGATAGATTTTTGTGATTAGGTCCACTGTAACTTCTGCTGGATTAGGTATGTGGTTTTCACAAAAATGTTCTGTTTTAGACGTGTTAAATCTGATATGGTTATTAAATTCCTACAACAAGATGTCAAGAGGCAAGTGGATATACATTGTCTAGGGTTCAGAAAGAATTCAAGGGGTGACATATGTATTTAGAATGTATTTGAAGCCATAAGATCACTTGGAGAGAAAATGTAAGAAGTTTGAACAGAATAGAGAAAATGGAGGGACCACAAAGAAGAACAGGAAGTACGGTTTCCAAAACCAACAGAAAAATGACAAAATGAACTTTATCTTTAAGATATTTAGAGTCTGCTGGGAAAAGAATTTAAAAATTAATGATTCAAGGTGATACATGATGTAAAAAAAAAAAATCAAACCATATTTGTCTCTAAGGCTATATGTTGTTGTTCAGTCTCTAAGCCGTATCCAACTCTTTGTGACCCCATGAATTGCAGCACTATAGGCTTCCCTCCATCACTATCTCCTGGAGCTTGCTCAAACTCATTCCATTATGTCAATGATGCCATCCAACCATCTCATTCTCTGTCATTCCACACACCTCTACATATTTGTTCATTTTTATTTTGATGAAGTTGAAGGAAGTGGAATGTAGATGTATTGAATGAGGCTGAATAGCCTCTGAATATTGTGATTATTTAAGAAGAAATGGCAACCCACTCCAGTATTCTTGCAGGGAAACCCCACAGACAGAGGAGCCAGGCAAGCTACTGGGCATGGGGTCACAAAGAGGTGGACACGACTGAGTGACTGAGGACACGATGACTTAAAAATAGATAGAGACTACAAAAAAAAAAAAAATAGAGAGGGCAGGAGAACTGAGAAGGTGGATGGAATCCACTCTTGAATGCTCTCATATTCCCCATTTACCACATAATATCCCCCACATCGTCTTTGGGTGCCAAACCCTAGTGCATATTTCCACAGCTATAGCAGAAACTACACTCAAATTGGGCTGAGAAGATGTTCAAGCTGGTTTTAGAAAAGGCAGAGGAACCAGAGATCAAATTGCCAACATCCAATGGATCATCAAAAAAGCAAGAGAGTTCCAGAAAAACATCTATTTCTGCTTCATTGACTATGCCAAAGCCTTTGACTGTGTGGATCACAGTAAACTGTGGAAAATTCTGAAAGAGATGGGAATACCAGACCATCTGACCTGCCTCTTCAGAAACCTGTATGCAGGTCAGGAAGCAACAATTAGAACTGGATATGGAACAACAGACTGGTTCCAAATAGGAAAAGGAGTACGTCAAGGCGCTATATTGTCACCCTGCTTATTTAACTTATACACAGAGTACATCATGAAAAACGCTGGGCTGGAGAAAGCACAGGCTGGAATCAAGACTGCAGGGAGAAATATCAATAACCTCAGATATGCAGAAGACACTACCCTTCTGGCAGAAGGTGAAGAAGAACTAAAAAGCCTCTAGATGAAGGTGAAAGAGGAGAGTGAAAAAGTTGGCTTAAAGCTCAACATTCAGAAAACTAAGACCATGGCATCCGGTCCCATCACTTCATGGCAAATAGATAGGAAAACAGTGGCTGACTTTATTCTCCTGGGCTCCAAAATCACTGCAGATGGTGATTGCAGCCATGAAATTAAAAGACGCTGGCTCCTTGGAAGGAAAATTATGACCAACATAGACAGCATATTGAAAAGCAGAGACATTACTTTGTCAACAAAGGTCCATCTAGTTGAGGCTAGATCATAGGATTCATGAACCCCCTGAGTTTCTGTAATTTTAATTTGTTTAATGATAAAGTTAAAAGGTAACAGCCAAAGTCCTTTATTCAATTTAAAAAGGCTAGAAACTAGGCTTTCTATGATATGAGTGATATGAAACTGAGGTGAGCATTGGTTTGTTATATTGGTTGTTTGGGTTTTACTGTTTGTTTTGTTTTATATTTTGAGGATGATGGATGTGAGGGTTGTGATTCATATAGGACTCCTTGATCTCAGTTGAATGTCTTTGACTGAAGTTTCATTGATAGAGTGCAGAAACCCAGTAGCCTTTTTGCTCAAGCCTTGGGAAGTACTTGACCATGTTCTACCAGAGGAAGAAGAGAGAAACTGCAAGCACAAAAGGGCAGATCTAGCTAATCTTCCAGGCTTGAGCCCACAGAAGTAAACATCCTAGTTGTATGGGAAATATACACTTGACAAAATAAAATTTTTTAATAGCAAGTCATTACTGAGATTTAATGAAATTGCAAGGATAATTACTCAAGTCACTACAGTCTGGCTTCTAATCCCAAAAAGTTACAAATACTGCTCATCCTGCATTCAGCAATAATACTGTAGTTGATAAATAAATGGATGTTTTCAATTCTTGTACTTTCTTTTCTACAGCTCAATGAAGGCCACAAAAAGCAGCAGGAAACACAGCACAGACAAAATGATCTTCGACCATATATAGGATCACCGCTTCATCCCAAATTACCACCTAACTGGAATCAATTCATTCAAAAGCCATACCCTTTTGATCATCCAAGACACCATAAAATTCCAAATCCAAGGAGAAGAATCTTCCCAAGGCCAAAACCTTCCAGCCCACCATTTAAAAATAACACTAACAAAAAGACCTCTGAGGCTACCACGCAGATCCTATCTGTGACTCCCACATCTATCTCTACCAGCACTACTATCCCTCCACCTCTGACTACTCTTGCTCCTAAGGCCACCACCACATCTGCAACAGTTAACAGTGGCACCACAGGCTCTCCTGCAATTACGTCAGCACAACCCTCTACAACTCCACTGCAGACCACAGCTGTCGCACCTACAACTTCCACATCAGTACCACTCCCCTCCTCACCTCCACCGACCACAACTGCACCAAATACCACACCTGCTCCTTCTACAACCACTGCTACCCCTGAAACTTCCAAAACTACAGCTGCACCCACAACCCAAACTAGTAGTAGTGCTACTACTCAAAGTACTACTGTTAAAAAAACTTCACCTTCTATAGAAAAAACTCTTCTTCAATTCTTGTCAAGTATTAGTCAGCTGCGAGAGCAAATTTGGAATATTATAAAGAGGTACTAGTACCTCATACATTGTGAAGTATTCTGTCATTACATATGACATGAGTACAGAACTACCCATTTAATTTTATCACTAATTTCAAGGAGAAATCATAATATTACTCAAATTTAAAGCACTGTCACTAATCTTTGAGTCTAATTATCCACCTCATATGACCTATTAACAATAAAAATCATCTCTGTCCCACAAATCAGGTGCCTGAACATGATTTAAGATCACTTTGTGGGACCTACAGCAATAGACTACTGAGGGACAGAAAACCATTAGATAAAGAGATAAAATTGAATGAGCAAACATTTACTTTTCCCTTTAAATGTTAGAAACTATAAGGTCACTACACTGTACTCCCAATTCAAAACCCACCTGAATTACCTAATCCCACAAATATAAAGGGATAAATAGGTTTCTCCAAATAAACAAAAATACATAAATATCTATAGATAGACCTAGCCCTGTATTGATGATTATTGACAAAGACTCTAAATCACCTTAAAACTTTAAATGAAATTCCATCCTACAAAATGTGAGCCAAAAAAGAGGGAAACTGCTATCAAGTGAAGATCTTCAGTGACTGAAAATGAAATCTCGCAGTCACTCACAACAAGGACTCTAGCTTTACATTTTTGAGAGCATGTAAATGTTTAGATTTCAGGATTGACATATATTGTATTACATCTTAAGTTCAGATCTGATGTGCTTGATGCCTGCCTCTTTGAACCACAAGAAGGCTTTTTTGTATGTTCACATGATGCTCAGAGTATTTTACTATTAATTCAATTTACTACTAATTTGATTAATTCACATTAATTCAGTGTGAAAGGTATTCAACAGTGAATATTTTCTAAAACTTTTATCAATATATTTGAAAGTGTTTTAAAGGAAACCATGTCAAACTACTGTCCTGATGTCAAGTTTGCAAAGTTGTCTCTGAAAATAAACTGATTCTACTCATAGAAGAATTTAAAACTGTTTACTTAACATACAGAGATGATGTTAATCTGGAATGTGAAGGTGATTTTGTTTTCTGTCACAACTGCTAAGAATTTTGATGATTGTATTTAGATTTTTTGCCAACTAATAAATAGTGCACAAAGCAATCTGTTTTCATTGTATGTAGATTTGGAAGCCTTTTGTTTCTCTTAGATTCCAGGATGGATGAAAAGTTAGGCCTAAATGGAGTTTTGCATTGTGGTCAGCTCTGCTGCTAATTAGCTAGTGATCTGGGTCCAGCACTCTATTTCTCTGAACATCAGTTTTTTTCATCCTTCAAATAAAGTAGCTCATTTACTTAGGTTAACTTAATCTCTACTTAATCTATTTATTAATGTGCTAGTCGCTTGGTCATGTCCAACTTTGTGATCCCATGGACTGTAGCCTGCTATATATATATATATATATATATATATATATATATATATACACACACACAATCATCACATTGTACACTTCAAATACCTTACTTCAAATTTTATTTGAAAACTATAACTCAATAAAACTGAAAAAAAAATGAGAAAGGAAATACTGCATGTTTCACATGAAGAGATTCAAGATATACCATTAAATTTTAAAAAAGCAAGTTGTGAAACAATACATATAGTACAGTATATTTCATATAAGAGAGAGGAAAAAATAAATATATAAATGTTTCACAAAAACTAGGCCTCTGTGTTTACACTTTTGTGAATAGTTTTATATTTTGAACCATGCAAATGTTATTTGTTTTAAAATAAATTTTAATTGGAAAAACTGAAAGTAAATATAAACAAAATAAACATATTAATCATGCAGTATGTTATATAATATATTGTAATAGTTCTCTATTTCTGGTATGAAAATTTATCACAAACTTAGTGGCTAAAGTAATGCAGATTTGTTCTTTAGGTTAGAAGTCAGACAGGGGTCTCACTGGGCTAAAGTCAAGGTGTTGGCAGGACTGAGGTCCTTTCTGGAGGCTCCAGGGAAGAATCATTTCCTTGCCCTCTCTGTCCTCACGAGGCCCCCTTTCTCCATCTTCAAAGCCAGCAATGGCGCACTTTCTATCCTTGCCTTTTACCACTCATAACTCTCTCTGATTCTCTCCTGTCTTCCTCTTCCACCTTCATTTTTTTACAGTTTTATTTTCATTTTAAGGATCTTTGTGATTACATTGGACCTACCAGGTAATCAAGGATAATATCCCTATTTGAAAATAACCTTAATTATATCTGCAACTTTAATTCCCTTTCTGCTATGTAACATAGCATGCTTATGGGTTCCAGAGATCAGAATAAGGATGTCTTTAGAGGTCATTCTTCTGCCTACCTACCATGTCAGTCAAAGGGAGGGAGTGTATACAAAAAAAGAGCAAGGAGAACTGAATAAGTGCTAGAGAGAGATGTTGCAATTTTAAATAGAGTGTGAAGATAAGCCTCATTGAGAAAAATGACATTTGAACAAAGACAGAAAGGAAGTTTTTCAGAAATAGAGTCACAGATGTAGAAAATAAACTTATTACCCAGGAGGAACAGCAGGGAGAGAGGGATAAATTGGGAGACTGGGACTCACATATACATACTACTATATATAAAATAGATAACCAGTAAGAACTTAGTGTATAGCACAGGGAACTGTACTCAATACACCCATAATGGCCCATATGGGAAAAGAATCTAAAAAAGAGTGGATCCATGGATATGTGTAACTGACTCACTTTGCTGTACATTAGAAACTAACATAACATTGTAAGTCAACTATACTCCAAGAAAAATTAATTAAAAGGAAACATCTACCATAGTCATCTCCATGTTGTTCTCTAACTTCAGGGTGTATGCACAACTGGTCTCTTTGCCTGGAGCTCCCCTACCCAGATGCTGTGTAATTGAATCCGTCCCTTCCTTCATATTTTATGTGAAGACAATGAAAAAGAAATTATGGATTATTTTAGTGTTCAAGCTTAGAAGTGACATACATTTCTTCTGCTTGTGTTCCACTGACCAGAACTAGACACAAGGCCCCTAGATACAAGGCCCCTAGATACATGTATGATGAGAAACTACATTTAGTTGTGTTTCCAAAAACGAAAATTGAATTCCCTGGAGATTCAAGAGTTAGGGATCAGCATTTTCACTGCAGAGCCCGGGTTCAATCCCTGATCTGGGACCCTGAGATTCCATAAGTCATGTGGCAAAAAATAAAGAATCCTAAAATTAAAAAATAAAAAGGAGTTTGATAACCTTCTAGCCAATGTCTTTCATGCCTTTTCTGTACAATAGGACGACACATGGGACAATTCTGTGTGCTTTCAAAAGCTTTAGTAAATATTTGCCAGAGTCCCTGATTGTCTGGAAGGTAAACTAAATCTCACAGGTACAAAGCTACCACAAACTATTGAGTATTTAGTACTAATGGCAATGGAAATAAAATGACTCAAAACATTTACAAAGCTTAAGCCCAGGATACAAAATTTACTGCAGAATGTGACTCAAAGAAAAATAGTGTTTCTCAGTAATTATTAGACTTATGAAAAGATCTGTTGCCAAACATCACAACCACCATTTCTCTATGTGAAAAAAAAAAATTATCAATCAAGAAGTAACTTTCCCTTTCAACCAAAGTTTCTCCTGTCTCCAATAAATACCGAAGGCTATAAAAAGTAGTATATTCATGAAAAAGCTCTCTCAGTTGATTCAGTTGCCCTCCTGAGAGAGCCGTAAGACAGTAATTGGCTAACATAAAATTTCAAATATTTTGACCCATTGCTGAGAAGCATCTGGCTAGGTTATGAGCATCAGGTAGGTCCTGAGAACTCTGGATTTGTCTCTTTTGAGTCCACTTTTACCCACAGATCCTTTGCATACAAATCCTGAAGCATTTATGTGTGTCATTTATTTTATTAAAAAAAAAAACTGGAAGCTTTATCCTCAAGAAAACTAGGAAACAGAAACCTAGTTTTCAATTTTTGTAAAGAGCATTGACATTAAAGTGCTTTTTCTTTGCAGGGACACAAAGAATTCTGAGAAGACCTGAAAACTGAAGAGATTAAGGAAGGACCTAGTCCCTTAGTAGGGTTACATGAACAGGAAAGCCTCAGCAGATAGAAAGAATCTGAGGCTGCCCTAAGATAGGACAGTGATAAACACCTCTGTTACACCTCTGTGATAAGCATATTTCCTTCTGTTTTCACCATAGATAATCTTACACTTGACTCCTATTTTAGACATGGAGCTTCTCACTACAGAAAACTTGCTTTAGATATTTCTGCATCCCCAACTGTGCCTAGCACAGAGACTGGCATAGTGGAGTCACAAAAGTCTCTAAAATAATCTAAGAAACTGAGTATTTGGGACTTGAGCTATCTGCAGTGATCATAATTATATAAGGGCCATACAACTTTACATCACTTACACCTCTCAAAATGTTTCCACATTATTAGATCCTTGACTTCCGTGCTAAGACCATGAGAAAGGTGTCATTTTTTCCTCCTTCAAATAAGGAAACATTTTGATCCTCATGTGACTCCCACCCTGGGGAATAGATTATCCTCCAGTGCTGCCACGGGAAACCACACTCTACTGACTCAAGTAACAGATCCTCTCAGAATGTCCACTTCAGTTAGAAGGACCTGCTACAGCTACCACACAGGGAACTATAGTCAATATCTTGTAATAACCTATAATGGAAAAGAATCTGAAAAAGAATATATATTGCATAATTGTGTCACTTTGCTATACACCTAATACTAACACAACATTGTGAGTTAACTATACTTTAATAAAAAGATGGTTAAAAAGTATGCTTCAATACAAAATGGCTATAAAAAATATTGTATATGACTCTGACTCCACCAGCCTCGGGTCTTGGGACCATAGTTCATGTCATGGTAAAGATGCATATCATAAGTCCGTTTTCAATGTCTGCGAATCTCTTTCAGTTTTGTAAATTCATTTGTATCATTTTGGGAAGATCGTATACCCACTGCTGGATTCAAAATGAACAACCAACAAGGACCTACTGTATAGTAC